GTGGATGCTAGATTACAACATATCTGTACAAGATATCCCTTAGAATTCCAGGCAGTCTGTTTCTGGTGCCGTCTCTCCATGCTTCCAAATTGTACCTCCTCATAAATGTAGACAGTAGCATTTCATATTGCATTTTTTTTTGAGATGGTATCTTGCTTTGTTGCCAAGCTGCAGTGCAATGGCACAATATTCACTGACTGCAACCTCTACCTCCTGGGTTCAAGCAATTCTCCTGCCTCAGCCTCCTGAGTCGCTGGGACCACAGGTGCACACCACCATGCCTGGATAATTTTTGTATTTTTGGTAGAGATGGGGTTTTACCATGTTGGCCAGAATGGTCTCTCGTGACCTGCCATCTCGGCCTTCCAAAGTGCTGGGATTACAGGTGTGAGCCACCACGCCCGGCCTTGCATTTTTAAAAAAGATTTATTCCCCAGCAGAAAACATTGAAACTTCCAGGTAATAGGAACAGTATTAACAGCTGGATGGGAGTCTCCTGGGTGGCCCGCTGTGAAGGGGTGTGAAGTCTGCCGTCAGATCACTAGGGTTTGAATCCTGGCTCTGCCATTTACTGGGTGACTCTGGGCAAGTTGCTCAACCTCTCCAGGTCTTATCTGTAAAAGGCGGGCAATAAAGGTGCCCACCACACAAGGTTATTATGAGGAGCAAAGGAATTAATGTGTGTCACTCTGCTTAAGATACTGCATTTGCCGTGCCAATCCCCCTTTATTTATTTTGTTGAGACAGAATCTCGCTCTGTCACCCAGGCTGGAGTGTAATGGCATGATCTCGGCTCACTGCAACCTCCGTCTCCCGGGTTTAAGCAGTTCTCTCACCTCTGCCTCCTGAGTAGCTGGGACTACAGGCACCCATGACCATGCCCAGCTAATTTTTGTAATTTTAGTAGAGACAAGGTTTCACCATGTTGGCCAGGTTGATCTCAAACTCCTGACCTCAAATGATCTGCCCGCGTCGGCCTCCCAAGGTGCTAGGCTTACAGTCGTGAGCCGCCGTGCCTGTCCTAAACCCCCTTCAACCTCAGTAGGGAAGGCACCAGGTTCAGGAGACCAAAGAAGAGACCCAGAGCCAGTAAACGAGATGTGGGGTTTTACTGTACTGACATAAAAGGGAGAGAGTCCAGTGGCAGGGGCTGGACAGGAGAACCGCCTTACGTGCAGTCCAGTGGCGGCAGGCTGGGCAGAAGAACCATATAGTCCGGTGGTGGTGGGCTAGGCAGGAAAATCGCAGCCACCTGCAGTCAGTGTATATAGGTTTTTCACTCAACACCCTCCCCCTAATGATCTCCACCTGCCAACATTCATTTAACCCAGAACTGAGGGCCTCAATCCCCTATAAATGCCCCTTTTTCCTGGGACAGGCCATATGCCCAGGTGTTTCGTATAGATAAGGAACGCTCTTTTGGCCACTCCTGGATTCCCTAGCTCAGAACACACATTCAGGTGCATCCGCCGTACAGGGTCATTCTAAAGGGATGCTTAAATTACTATCAGGTGCATTTAGTTTACAGCTAGTTAATAATGTGAACTGTTAAACCCAGAGTATGATAAATGAGAATGTTTGGTTCAGTGGAATGCCGAATGCAAGCCCGACAATATCAAATGAAGAGGCCAGTGGGTTGAGTTCACTCCTCTTCCTCTGGTACTGATTCACAGCCAGGTGGTGTCACAGCAAGCACAGCAGGACAGAGGGGGAAACAGGGCTGGAGTCTCGGGGGGCAACAGAACCCTCCTGCCCCCACCCGGAGTAACTGAACTGACTGCACTTTGAATACTGGAAGCGAGATAACTAGATTACATTACATTTAGTTACATAAAGTCCCACAGCTTGCAGATGGCCGCTTCGGTCTCTCATGTCATCTCCATAGTTACTCGGCGAGATGGAGCAGGTATCGTGGTTCCCACTTTACAGAGAAGGACACTGAGGCTCAGCAAGGTGGTGACTTGGCAGAGGTCCCCAGCTAACTAGAGCTCTGGCCTCTGGACTCTAGTGCCAGTGTCTTATCCCACATACCCTCAATAAATCCGTAGGCCCTGCACTAAGGTTCAGAAGTCCAGAAAGCCACAGAGAACTGCCGCTCTTCCTTCCCCCTTCCAGAAGGGCAGTGAGTGAGCAGCTCTTAAAAGAGCAGTCAGAAAACGTCCAGCTCAAGGACCTGTCATTAGGTGTTTTGGTTTCATCTGAGGTAAGATAAGGAGCTGGGAAGAGGAACAGCAAATGCTGGAGAGCTGGTCATGGCTGCATGCTTGGTTTCCTGGGTCTTTTTCAATAAGGCACCCTAAGCTGAGGAGCGGGAAGGTGTCGAGTGCTACTTATGGTTTGGATCAGTATTAATCACCTAGGGGAATTATGGATCAGAATCACCTGTGCTACATCTCTTTTGGATAAATATGCAGATGCATGCCTCAGCTGTGCCCTCTTCACCCAGGACAGGCATTGCTAGTCGACCCCATGTTTTCCACAGGGCCTCAGAATCCTCCTGAAACTCTAGGCAGCCACTCCCTGTCAAGTCTGTTAAGTGAGAGGGAACCAACTGGTCATTTCTGTTTTAGTGACATCCCTTCAGTACAGTGAGCAATTACATTTATTGTTTAGGTGTTTAGGTAATTTGGAGTTCCTGGTGGTGGCAATAATATTTATATTTTACCAACTGTTTAAATGTTACCACTCATTTGACACTTCTCACCTTGCTATTGTCATTGAGCAGCTCTCCAAATATAAAATTGACCACCAAGTATTGTCATCGACATGTCTTCAACTAGCCATCTTTTCTCTCTTTAGAGGCAAACTTTGTTTTTTATTCCATTTACTAAAATCTGAAAGGGAGACAGGAGCCGGAAAAAGAGACTTGCTTCTCCAAGCACACTCAAGATTGGAGCACCCTCTCTGGGGAGCTGAGAGCGCTTTTCCTTCACTTCCCCTCCACATCCGCAGAGTCTCAGACAGCTGTGCCATGCCCAGCTCTAAGGGGTGAGCATGTGTCTGCAGTTGGCTGTTACGCCTTGGCAGGCCACGTGCAGAATGTGAGCAACGATGCCTAGCAGATGATTTTGTCCTGGATGCGTTCATAGGGCTCTGGGAGAGCTGCAGCTGGAGAACTTCAGAGCAAAGGCGTTATTTTCTTCAGGACTGCGCTTTCTCTTTGCCCATTTCAGCAGTGGGAGGAAGTAGGAGGAGGCGGGTGGCAGGACACTAGGGAGGCAATGCAGTTAAACAGAATGGTCCGTCTTCTTTTACTGTCTTGATGCAGTTAGGGTTTAGGTCATTAGGGCCACTCAGTGAGGGTGCTTGACAGTGATCACCCTAGACACCCCTGCGTAAGAAGTCCTTGGGCCACAAGCACACTGTCAATCTCATGAAGGCACCAGGAGTCCGGCTCTGTCGTCCAGGCTGGAGTGCAGTGCCACCATCTCAGGCTCACTGCAACCTCCACCTCCCAGGTTCAAGTGATTCTTGTGTCTCAGCCTCCAGAGTAGCTGGGATTACAGGTGTATGCCACCATGCCCAGCTAATTTTTGCATTTTTAGTAGAGACAGGGTTTTGGCATGTTGGCCAGACTGGTCTCAAACTCCAGACCTCAGGCGATCCATCAGCCTCAGCCTCCCAAAGTGCTGGGATTACAGGTGTGAGCCACCGCGCCTGGCCTGTGGTATTTATATTGCTCAGGCTTAGCAAATGGCACTCAGTTTCTAACCAAAGACCAGCCAGTGCCTTAAAAAAAATGTTTACTTTGAATTTCCCCCGTAATAATTATATAGCAATTGGAAAATACAAAAAGATAAAAGGAAAAAAAATTACACATAGTCTCACAATCTAAAAAAAAAGCTTAAAATTTTGGTATATTTTACTGAAGTCTTTTTTCTATGCTTATGTGTATAAATTTCAAGAAAGTCTGAGCCAGGTGTGATAGCTCATGCCTGTAATCCCAGCATTTTGGGAGGCCGAGGCAGGAGGATTGCTTGAGTCCAGGTGTTCAAGACCAGCCTGGGCAACATAGTAAGACCCTGTCTCTATTAAAAATATATAAGTATGCATACACATACACATATATAAAGAACTCTGGGCTGGTGTGGTGGCTCACACCTGTAATCCCAGCACTTTGGGAGGCCTAGGCAGGCAGATCACGAGGTCAGGAGATCAAGACCAGCCTGGCGAACATGGTGAAACCCCGTTTCTACTAAAAATAGAAAAATTAGCTGGGCGTGGTGCTGTGCACCTGTAATCCCAGCTACTCAGGAGGCTGAGGCAGGAGAATCACTTGAACCCGGGAGTCGGCAGTTGCAGTGAGCCGAGATCATGCCACTATACCCTTCCCTATACTCCAACCTGGCAACAGAGCAAGATTTCCTCTGAAAAAGAAAAGAAACTGTGTATCATGATAACAGTGCAATTTTGTCATGCTCTTTTTACGCTTTTGTGCATCTTGTTTACATCATCAAGTCATTCAAAAATGCCATTTTGAGTGAATATGTCAGATTCCATTTCAGTGATAACACCATAATTTATTTAACCATTTTGCTGTTGAACATTTTAGTTGTCTCTGTGTTTTTAGAAATGTGTTATAAGTAATAGCACCAGTAAGTAATAGCACCCTGTGTTTTTAGGACAGAAAATACAGTCGGTTTTTGGCATCTTGGTGGGACAGGCGGCATGGTTCATCTCATACTACCTGCTAACATCCCAGGTGTGTGCACGTGCACATAGGTAGCTCTCTGTGCATATGTGGTGCCACATTTTGATACTTAAAAATAGAGACTCTCCAGGCTCCCCAGTAAACCCTAGCCCTTTGGGCACTAATGCATTGAAGGATTGACATTTCTGTCTCACAAGCTGATGAAAATCATTGTAGGGGTGGTTGACGCAGGAAGTCTGCAGCTGCTGGGTTCAGCGCTGTTTAATGTGGATCTGATGCCTTTGGTTGTCTTCCTGCCTGTGGTCCATTTGGTGCTCACAGCTGCTTTTCTCTTGTTCTCTTCCTGTAGTTACTGGGGCTTCCAGATGCGGATGATGATGCGTTTGAAGAGTACAGTGCTGATGTGGAAGAGGAGGAGCCAGAGGCGGATCACCCCCAGATGGGGGTCAGCCAGCAGTAAATCTGGGGGCTCCCACAAGAAGGAGAGTGAGCCCTGCGGTAACCTAGGTGGGGTCACTGCCCCTCTTGGGTTAGCATTTTGCATTAGCACTTCAAAATAGGACGTCTGGCTCCCAGCATCCAAATTAAAATGAAATACCTTTTTAACGACCACAAAATATCTGTGATGAGCTTTGCTCAGAAGTGACCTGAATTTCACTCCCGCTTCAGTGGGGTTTCTATGGAGTTGTCTTGGTAGCCTTTGCCATTTTGAATTTAGAGTCCATTTTGTGGCTGACTATTCTCTTGAGTTTATGTTGGAGAATTAACATTCGCTGACTCGAATGTAGAGAACTCTGAATGTATTAAGGATATGTTTTGAGTCCTCACAGGTGACCTTACTGAGGGAAAGCATGGCAGAGAAGAAATGCGTTCTGCACTTTTTATGTACTTTTTAAGTGTCCGTAAGTGAAAGGTTTTGCTTATAAAGCATGAATTTTAATATCTAATCATTAAACTGCACAAGTGCAAATACAAGGGCAGGAAAGGATAATCACTTAGCTTTGGACTAAGAGGGTAAGAGAGGCCCAGAAGCCTTGAAGTGTTTTGCCATTACTAAGTTACCTGGGTATGTAGCGACTGGTTCGTGGTTAGTGTAAATGTTACTTGCTTGTTCGATTGTTTCAAAACATGCTAATTCCAAAGCCACTTTAAAAGTCTATAGTGGAAAATATAGATGGGGTAAAAGATATAATATAAATTATTGATTTTTAAAGATGTTTATAAGCCGTCCCACGTATCAAATGAAACATTTTACCTTCTCTCTTTCTAATGAGATGGCCACTTGTTAAATCATGAAAACATCCAGAATCCAAGTGCCACTTAAACTTAGAAGCCATAGATAAATTTGATAGAAAAGTAAACCAAGATTAAAAGTTTTTAAAAATATAATAGAATCCTTCTTTACTTTTTAAATCTTTTATTTAAAAAAAAAGTCAAGAAAAGGATCCCATTGTGTAATTTATTTAAAAATCGTAATCACTTATTTCGAGGGACTTAATTGTGGTGAATTTGTAAAGGAACATGAAGTTAGGAATCTTTTCATAGTGGGTTAGCTTGGTTAAAACGGGATGTTTTAATAAGATACTCAGACAACTCACAGAAACAACTTCTGTAATAACTGGAAATACTGCTGTTATCATTTAGCCAACAATTATGAACTGGGGAAATCCTTTGTAATGCTAATATGGAATTATTCTTGGACCCTTCCACATCCCAGGTTCTAGTAACTTAGGAAGCGGAATGCCTCCTTTACAACACTAGATTAACCTAGCATCTGGGGTGGGTATGTTTAAACAGTCACACATGTGCCTGTTAGGTTGTCAAAGTTTTGAATGAAAAACAAGCAGTAGCAGCAGCAGAGGCCACAGAACTTATGGGAGTCTTGTATATCTTCCAGGCATGTCGGTGTAAACCTGATGTCTCGACATTTTCTGTTTAATTGCTTGGTGCTGTGAGGAGCTCGGCTGCTTGTGGTAAAACAGCGTACTCCAGTTTTAAGTCATTGGGTAAAATGATACTAAAGTGGTTTCCATCTTTGCTTCAGTACCCACTTTCTGTTCTTTTCTTGGAAAATCATACTCAAGGTTAATTTCAAGTAAAATGAATTTCCTTCTGACTAGCCCATTAATAAAACACAACTTAGTGTTTCACGCATTGGGGTGAGCATATTCTGCCCTTTGCAGCCCTGCCTGTGTTCTGAGCTCCGTTCATGAGCAAAGGTGATGGTGAGCTGTACGTTACTAGCTGTCGCCCAGGTTTTGTGACCTTCATTTTAATATAGTAAGCCACAGGAGTGACTTCTGCCGCGGAAATGAAGAAGCTTCACTAACTTGCTCCACTGGAAGGTAAACTGAGGATACATTGAAGCATAAAATCTGCATTTACATATGTTTGGAAATGGAATGGACATTAACATAAAATGTATTTTATCAAAAAAGTGTTTAGACCGAATACATGTTGGTATTATCATGTTAATGTTCTCCGTTCATAAAAATTCAGTGGAGATAGACACAGCCACTCTGTGGGCTGATGAGAATTGTGGGCTTTGTTTTGCACCAGGGGTAGGCGACAGAGAACATGGCTGTATGTTACTTAATTTCCATAGCAAAATTCCAAACAGCATTAGCAGATGGAATTGTTTCCTCTAAAACTTCCTTTTTCTGAATGTGTACATACCCCTTCTAGCACTCACACACTTGCCCACACACTCACCCCGTCCTGCACGGTGGCTGCTCTCGGCAGGGCTGTGCAGGGTGCAGAGCTGCACTCAGTGAGCCGTGCAGCCCGTGGCTTCTGTTATGGAAATGGCTCCGTGGTGAAACACGTCCCTGACCCTTCACAGACTTACAGATAGACTCACTAGGAGGCAGCAGTGGTGTGGGGAGAGGAGTGTCGACCTTAGATGCAGGAGAGACAACTGGGTTCTAGTCCCAATTCCCCAAGTCAGCCGAGGACTGTGTGACCTTGACAAGTCACTTAACTGGTCTGTGAACAAGAGGCGTTTGCCCTTCCAGCTGTAAACACTGCCTTTCAGTGCCTGCCTCGTGTGTGTGTACAAATAAGGAGCAACAGTCAAGGAAACTTCTAGGGATTCCAGAAGAAAATACATCTGGAATCTTGCCACAGTGCTGTCTTTAGGATGCTGGCCCCCGCACCACCTTAGAACATGTTGGTCTGTGAGTGTCCTAACCCCTGAGGGCCCAATCCCGTGGGGCTGATAAAATTCTCTTCCTTAGAGGACAGGGAAAGGTGAGGCCCCGGAGGACTTGTCTCAGCTGTACATGCCCTGCCTGTGGAGACATGGCTTTTCTTTGTGCTGTGGCAGACTGGGGCTTCGGAAGTGGTGTATGTTTAACCTACCCAACAGCGGGAGATGTGTAGGAAGAACAGCTGGAAGAAAGTGAAAGATGAGTGCTAGTCCTTTTTGCCATGTTATCCAGTGGAGAGAAAGTGACCGTGAAAGTGAAGTGAGAGAGAGAATGAGGAATGCTTGATTTCTCGCTGATCACTGGACCAGCTCTGAAATCTGAAATCATGCCTTGCTAACATTACAAAACCGTGATCCTGGGTTTGAGTGAATCCTGGAGACATTGTTCTTATGGCTGCTTGGTTTCCTTAGCCTGATCACCATATCAAACAGGCTTCCAGGAATCAGTGAAGTACGGAGCCAGGGAGGGAGGTAAGACCCTGCACAGTGCCTGTCACCACTGTGGATTCACTTGCACTTAGGTGTCCACTCCTGTCTCCCAGGCCCAAAGCAGCACATGGTGCAATTTGTCTTTCCATAAGTAGAGCATGAAAAGTCTCTTATGTAGGGATCCTCCTTGTGTCCTGGTGCCAGAATTAGGTTTCCAGTGTACTTCAACGAAAACTTTTCTGATAGTTGTGGTCATTTTTCATGTATAAACAGAAACTGTTCTCTGGCACAATGTATTTCTGAATATTGTTTCTGTTTCCTAAGAGCACAATGTATAGGGACATAGGGGAGCTGTGGTTCCAAGTGTCACTGGAATTTATATTTTAGGAATAGGCTTTGCATGTTAAAATTCACAAGTTGGGAAACTGGTATGAAGAGATCCGATTTCCCACAAAGAGGCAAGAAGGAATAGGTGGGACTTAGCTTGGGGCGGCAGGAGATGAAAGAGGGAGAACGGGAGAGTTGGGGTCTGACAGTTACCACCTGAGCCCCAGGAAAACTCTTTTCACAGCTGTCTCACTGGGGGCCTGCTTTCCTCAAAGGAAATGACTGTATGTTCAGAGGCGAGGCCTTATGTTGGCATGGGTTTTTCACTTTAACAGTGCCCCCCAGCCAAGGAGACAGCAGGGGCACTGCTCTTTTGTGGGCTGTTTCCCTCAGTAAAACCAGCTGCCAGCCTGAGAAGCCTGTCTTTCCAAAGTGCAGGCAGATCTGAGGGGCTCCAGGCACCTGGGAGGTAAGTCACAAAGCAAACTTGGGTCTCCTTGGCAGCAGGGAGGAGGCAGGAGTGCCCCTCAGGCCACAGAGGGCAGGGCCCACCTCCTCACCATGCTTCAAGTTTGTAGAAAGAGCACAATTAATACTCAAGTGAGCACAGATCCCTCTCCCCTGCAGTGGGTGTTAGCTCCAAAGAGATGCCATTGCCGGTCACCCAGTCTTCAGAGAAGCCTAACATTTCTTTGAGTTAAAACCTGTCCTCTTTCATAAAGACCCAGTCACTTCTCCCAGTTTAGTGATAACAGGTATGACACAAGAAGCTGAAGTCTTTTAGAGTCTATAGAGAGTAATTCTAAAACCTGCCAGAAAGCTGGTAGCTTGTGGTATCCATGGTAAGATATCTATAGCTCCTGCTCGCCGGGCAAATTGTTAAATAATATGTCATCTTTTATAATTTTATTTAAATTGGGATTACAAAAATAAAGTACCCATGAGCATTTCATGTTAGAAACCCCATTTAGAGCACCCTAAGGCTGAATAGGCACAAGCGATTAAAAGTATATGCCAGGCCACACAGAAATAAATGTCTGATTTGCTTAGAACTGTATTCAAGTTGTTTGGTACCAGAGAGAAAGCTGGCAGTCTGTTCTCTGTAAACTCCCTTTTCCCGTTTTTCTGTTTTGTTTCTCGAGTTTCATTTTTTACCAAGCCCCTTCTGATACCTAGGCAGATACAGATAAGAGCAGTGTGTGCTACAAGTGTCAGCTCTGAAGAGGAGGAACTGAGTCTTCAATGCTAGGGCAGACCTTCACTCTCCATGATCCAGTCTTAATTTGAACGTGAGAGCAAAATTTAGTCATCTACACAAGAAGCAAAAGCAAAGAAAAGCTGTTGGGTTTTTGTTTTTGTTTTTTTAGGCAAGAAATGTTTCCTGTGGGTGTGTGTGCTTTCTTCGCCTTCGTATTTCCTTTCAAAGAAATCTCTTGTAAATTACAAAACTGTGAAATGGGTTGCCAAAAACTGTTGCCCTTCGTTAGATGCTTCAAACAGTGTAAATCCTGTACTGCACCCTGTCCACCTCTGCTCCCTCCTCCCTCCCCTGAGAGTGAGGACCTCATCCAACCATGTAATTACCATTCGCTTGCTATTAAAGAGCCTTTCAAACTCTGGTGGTGGTTGCCTCTTTTTTCTGCCTCCACAGTGTTTCGTCCTAAAGGACACCTAATGGGGTTTATAAATGAGCAAGGGATAAAGGACCAGCAGCTCGCTGTGTGGTTGCTGTTGTGAGGAGCCTGGCGGAAGAGAGGGAGGAGCTGGTGACTTGAAGCACTGCCATTGTTCAAAGATTAATCATTTATGCGTGATGCATTCATATGTCTATTCTGATGCTATAACTGGTAGTTAGTAATTTTCTACTTCTTTGAACTGATACTTTTATGTGTGAGAACCCTATTTTTTTCTTTTTTTTTTTTTTTTTGAGACGGAGTTTCACTCGTTACCCAGGCTGGAGTGCAATGGCGCGATCTCGGCTCACTGCAGCCTCCGCCTCCTGGGTTCAGGCAATTCTCCTGCCTCAGCCTCCTGAGTAGCTGGGATTACAGGCACGCACCACCATGCCCAGCTAATTTTTTGTATTTTTAGTAGAGACGGGGTTTCACCATGTTGACCAGGATGGTCTGGATCTCTTGACCTCGTGATCCACCTGCCTCGGCCTCCCAAAGTGCTGGGATTACAGGCTTGAGCCACCGCGCCCGGCCATGAGAACCCTATTTTTTTCTAGCCGACTTAGGAATCCTTTCTGGCATCAATTAGAAATCTGTATTCTGTGGTCATTCTATGACGTGACACCATGTCTCTACCACCTTCCTTCTGGTTATTTATTCACTAAACGTGGCATTTAAATAATTCATCTGGAAGTTGATGGTAAGTTTTATTATTTGATTAAGAGCAAGTTTCTTTCTCCAAATGAATGGGTTTCCATAGAGAGACCCGTTAGATTCGATCTGATTTGAGATTGGCTTCACAGGCACAGCATAAAGGCTTATGTGTGTGTTAGATAGTGTGTGGTCCTTTGTTTTCAATGTGGCTGTCAGAGAGCGTACTCAAGTGGTGAGCTATGTGTCAGCATTCCCAACCCCGCTTCTCTAAGATAGTGGAGCGGCAGGGTGAGGCAGACGAAGCCTTCCTGATGAACTTCCTTTGTTACCGTTATTCTATCACTCTCACAGACACAGTTTATAAAATGCAGGTCGGCCCCTTTAAGTGCAGGGACTGGTGTTTAAAATGCCAACATTTCCCCTGTGTAGTTAATCATCCTGAAATCAGTGGCTAAGGGCAAGAGGTTCTCCCACCTCCAACTTTGTTTCCTCATCTGTAAAAATAAGAGTATGGGACTCGTCCCGAGCTCTCTTTGGGCACTAGCCCTGACTTGTTTAGGGGAGTCGGTGGGGATGGCAGGAAGCACCGTTACAAAGGACGCTCACAAAACCAGGGTGGGGTGGCCAGTATTGGTAAAACTGTCCTGGGATTCTGAAGCCCTTCTCCCTAGGATCCGTTTCCGAATTGAAGACCCAGGTGATACCGGGGCTGTGTATTAGCCCAAATGCTTTTGCCCTTGCATGTTTTCTCCTGCCTCCCACACGTTCCTTCACTTTGTGAAAGTAGTAAGGAGTCAGAACTACAAGGGGCTGTTTAGCCTAGGGAGGTAATCAGTCTCACTCCCTGTAGAAATGAGCTTTGTTTCCATAGTGAAGTTGGGCCGAGTGGGATCCTCCATTGTTCCAGAGTTCATTGTGTACAGCTGTGGGTTGAAGGATAACAAAATTAACAGCACCGGGCCCACCACCCGGCATTTGGAGTCTGCCCTGGGGCTGGACACAGTGGACTTGCTGTCATGTGCCTGGGTGTCTGTCGGGGTGATTTTGCCCGCCCGGTGCCCTGCCAAATCAGGGTGAGTGAACATTCCTTTATCTGTGTAGCAGACTTGGCCCTTTGCAAACTCAAGAAATGCTTCCTGAGAAAGCTGGTACTGTGCTTTTCCTCTTAGGACCGCCATAGGCAAAAAACTGAAGTTCTTTCCCTATCTTTGACTCGTTTTTTACTTTACTTATGGAGTGGAAAAACAATGACATTTGCAATTATCTGGGAAGGTTTTAATTAGGCAGTCAAGGGACAAGGTGGGCATTTTGGGGGGTCGTTTAAAATAGCAGAAATATTTTATCCTTCTTTTGTAGGGAAATATGGCAAGACCGTACAGTGTAAAAACCAGCAGTAAAATTAAGTTCGCCCTTTGGGATGCTTTTTAATTAGAAGCCTCTAGAGGTCAGCACCACATAAAGAAAGGGCTTTCGAGTTCAGGGTAATCATGACCATTTCCTCATGGAGCTTTTGGGAAAAGGAGGGTTGGCGAATGTCCAGGCTAGGGAAAGAGAAGGGCCTTTTCCTTTATACATAAACCGTAACATTTGACTCGGTTGTTTTTTTCCCTGCTCACCCATCTGTCTCTGGAGCTCCCACACCCCTGCGTCACACCCTGTCAGTTCAGTAAACACGACTTACCGATCGATGAAGTGTGGCATTTAGCTCAGGCTGAGAAGGACTGGGGAAGTGCCAAAGATGAGATGGAAGGCACATTGCATTTTGCTTGGAGTGAGGTGGGAGGATGCTGGGTGTTCCAAGGCCTTTGAAAAAATTTGTTAGCCCATAGACTGTTGAGCTCTGTGACTTCTAATGGAACTTCAAGGAACACAGATTTCTACTCAGAATCCATACTGGTTCTCTGAGGCCTGCTCACATCAGGGGTGGTTAGGGGAGGATTTGAGCATCTTTAGAAGGTCTGGCTAGAATTGAGACAGTTGGGAGCTCCTAAAAACTTGTAGACCTGCCTGCGGATCCCCAAGGTAGGAAACCTGAGAGCACTGTGCAGTGATGGCCGCAGGCTTCGCAGGCTACCTGAGTTCAAATCCAAAATCAGAGACACCCTTGGGAGACCACAGAGGTGCCCACTGTTGCCCAGGTGTGCAGTGATGGCCGCAGGCTTCGCAGGCCACCTGAGTTCAAATCCAAAACCAGAGACACCCTTGGGAGACCACAGGGGTGTCCATTGTTGCCCAGGTGTTTCCTCTTGGCCCATCCAGTTGCAGGAAGGGGAAACAATACACAGGCTTTCCTCCCTTCTCTGTCCCTTGTCCCTTCTGTTCAGGGTTTATTGTTCCTGTCTACTGAGGAAGGTTTGACCCACAGCGCAAATAGTATTGACAGTTATTGTTTGCCGGGTGATTCGATGAGCCTTGGACCCTGAGGTTCTTTCACTCGCTGAGAAGATACATTGGTGGAAAGGTCAACAAATATGTCACGGGCACGATAGAAGCCCAGTCTTAACATCTTAGCACTTTGTGGCGTAACAGCGGTTTCACTGGAACAATTAGATTTCAAAATGCTAGGTTTGGATCCTCATGAGTGTGGACTATATTCTTTGCAAGTGTGGAGCAGTCTGATGACTTTTCAATTGTTTTGTCATGAAGCCAACAGTGCTGAGTGAATATGCCCCACCTGTGTGTGCCATTACGTACCAAAATTTATATGTAACGTCTATGTAGTCCTTGCTAAGTACCAGACACTGTACTAAGTTCCTTTTAACTCATTTAATCCTTCCAACAATCCTACATGGTAGATATTATGGTTGATATCCTCTTTTTACAGATGAGGAAACTGAGGCACAGAGAATATAAGTAACTCTCACAAGATCACACAGCTAATAAGTGCCACAGCTGGGATTTGGACCCAGGCAGTTTGGTTTCAGAACTCTTAACTACTCTGCTGAATAACGAATGTCATGGGCGTTGGTCTTTCTTTTATTGAAATCTCTGATTGTTTTCACACCACAGCACGGAGGCCCTGCCTGCCCTTACCCTTCATGCAGTGCATGCTGCTAACATCCATGGTTGCCCGAGAACAGATGGAGCGAAGAGAGTATTTTCCTAGTTGTTTGCCTTGTCTGTGGTCGGGGTGGCCGTGCAGGGTGGTTTAGGATAATCGCAGACACATTGTTTTCCAGTATCCATGTACTTGCAAAGATTTTTGAAAGTGACTGGAAGAACTGGGGCAACAGGTTTATAAAATAAGAGGATCCTCATGTGGGGGCAAGGCTGGGGAAACAACCAGTTGGCCTTCCTTTCTGCACCCTTCTTTCCAGATCTTGTTCCTGAAGGAGCCCTTTACAAGGGCTTAGTGAACTCCTCTAAGTGTCTCCCTCCTTATAGCAAAGGGGCTTTTACCTAGACTCACTCTGAAGCAGCCAGAAGCAGAAATGCATTCTGTAGTCAACAGGAGGCCTGAGAGCAAGTAGAAAGCTCTCTTCATCTGCTGATATGTGATAACATGCAATTGAGTTACCATCCCACTCCAAGGATTCCAGTCTGTCTATGGCCCTACCCCTCAGCCATCCAAATACATTTCTAGCCTGGCTTCCTGCTCCACGTGGAGGCAGCACACACACACACCCTCTATACCACCACCACTGCGAGATGACTATCGGTGCTATTATGCAGAAGGAATGAGTGCAAATCTGAGACCCCATTTCAAAGGCAAACTGAATTCACTTTTGAGCTCATCAGCTTGTTTGGATCATCTCTGCCACCTAGGAAAGAAAAGCCAGCCAGCTCAGTATCCCATAAGAAATGCAGCACCCCAAATCTGCTGTTCTTGCTTCTAAGATTCTGAGTGCTGTTACGTAGTTCTTGAATGTCAGAGGCTCCAGGTCCTGCCTTGGAGTGTGAGCATGCTGGTGAGTGGCTACGTGGAAAGAGTGCTAAACCCCAGGAGCATCACTTTTGTGTTTTCTAAATGATGCATGGATGACAGGAACGCAGGAAAAGTGAGTCAGAAACCTTTGGAAATATAAAAAGAAGGAGCATAGAGCTGCACAGGTTTGGAAAGAGGAGGAGGCAGTGTCATGGGATAAATGCACGTTGGGTTTCTGGACCTGACGCGGGCCTTCCCGCATGACTTTGGTCATTTAGATGTTTAGATTCCCCTACTCAGGAATGTGAGGGGGCATTTTGAACCTGGGGCTACAAGGGGCTAAAAAAAAAATACAAACTGTTCAGAATCAACTTTGAAATTGATCTGGAAAGTCAGAATTTAAAAATTTCAGACTTCAGTATTCCCTGAAGTCAGAAATATAAATCCAGTGATGGAAAAGGACATGAAATATACAGTCCCCACTCAAGTCTCACTGTCGGGTGGATGCTTTCGCCTCATCAAATGCAATTGGGAGAGCTGGCTAGGGTCTGCCTTTCCCACCAGACCCCACGCTTCCCCACTTCTCTCCTACCTTGCCTGACGTGGAACACTTTGTAATTCAGAGGTTCATTCCTTCAGTTTAATATGGGGTGTCATCAAGGCCTTCACTAGACAACAAGCATGTCCTCTCCTCTCCAGCAGCAATGACCCCTCACGAAACATACCTCTCACTGAGATCTTCATCCCTCTCCAGAAAAGGAGCCCCAAGCAGCAGCGCCCAGTGTGGAGCCTCCGTTCCTACTTCATGGATGTGAAATGCCCAGAATGCTACAAAATCACCGCAGTCCCGCCACAAACAGTAGTTCTGTGTGTCGGCTGCCCCACCATCCTCTCTCTGCCAGCCCACAGGAGGTAAAGCAAGGCCCATAGAAGGACATTCCTGCAGGAGGAAGCAGCATGAAAAGCACCCTGAGTCAAGAAGAACGGGACACCATCCCCCCACACACATTCTGGGAAATACAAAATGTGTTCTTCATATTTCCTAGTGGTTTTAGTTTTCAAACTGTAATCAGAAAAATCCCCGTATGAAAAATGACTCTTGTTTAACCCACACCGTTTGCTTTCCTTGGCAGCTCTGGCTGGAGAAACCCTGGATACTTAACGGTCCATTTCCTTCGTCCTGTTAGGATGATGTGTGGGCAGAGTGAGGAAGAGGGAGTCGAAAAAGGGAAAGGGATGAATGAAGTCATCTCAATGCACATGGGTTGTTTCTTTGGTGTTTTGTGGAGATTTCACACCAGGGACCTTGGGCCAACCGGTTTACTTGGGTGGAAGCATAGGGTGCCCACCTGTTTTCTCAGGAGATGATGGCTGGGGCTTAGCCATTCTTTGCTGCTCTTACTTTTGGTCCTGTATATATAAAGTTGACCAAAATCCTCACAAGGGCCATGATCAGATCTGCTTTCTCCCATCTTCTCCCACCCTCCTGCCTATCTTGTATCCCCAGGCTAAAACTGGAGGTTTGGCTGAGGAGTGGGTTATGCTTCATGATAGAGCTAAAGTTACCCTGATCTCTCTCAATTTCCCCTTCCTTCAAAGACTCATTTCTGACACTGGCCAGCTCCCAAATAGCTCCTGCAATTGGCTACAAGCAAGGCTAAGGGAGATAGTGATTTGATTCTGGAAACACAAACCAGTGCCCCCCCATGGTGGGTGGGAAGCATCTTCTCTATGTTCACCTCGCAAGCTTTTGGAAAAAAAAAAAAAAAAAAAAAAAAAAAAAAAAAAAAAAAAACCTATCGTTCAGAAGCAAGCCAAAACTGTCATCTCGCTCGATGCTAATGGGCTCATCAAATCCATTCGCAGGGTCTCAGCTCTTCAGAACTCTGGCCAAGCCTTTGCTTAGTACATAAAAGAGTATTCCCTGGAGTGCTTTTCAAACCGTGTTCTGACCCCATACTCCTAAGCTGTAGAAGAGCACAGACACGATTGGCCACATGCTCCTGAAAAATCCAGTCTGAAAGCTAGCATTGGTGACTACAGATGGGATTTTGATAAAAGAAAAACACTGAGCCAGGTATGCTGCTTGCCGCTTGGAGTTCGTCTCCCTGGAGGACAGAGCTGCCTGCCCACTGCTGAGGAAGAGCATTCCAGACGTGGCGTGAAGCCGAGCAGCTGGAAAGTGCACTGACTTTGGCTTCTTACCCCATCCTAAGAATAATGGCACTTTTATGAGACCTCTAGAAATAGAACTTTTCATCTGGCACCATCGTAGGCTACGCTTTGGGGCAGTGATGTCACCAGGGAGACAGAAACTAGGGAATTCATCCTCTTGGGTCGGGTGACTAATCCTGTTTCCCAACCTCAGAACATTTGCTGATGTCATCCATCTTCCTGAAACCACAACTTACATTTCTGTGACTTTAACACATACTTTGGGGATTCCCAGTCCTTTTCCCATTCCTCCCAAATATTCTAGGGGGTGGTCCTCGGGGGCTGACTTGTTTGCTTCCCAAGTTCATCTTCCATGGCATCTGGCATTCTCCTGGATTTAATGCACAGCCATTTCTGCCTATGCTGCAGAACCCCAGAATGGCAGCGAGGTCCCCAGAGCCCACAGAGGGGCATGGGGTCACCCACCAAAAGAGCCCCCTTTCCTGCCACTGCCCACCTGTGTTTACCCTGAGGCTGCCAGCACGAGGGGCTGAGGACCTGGGTGTGTGGTCTAGGGTGCTATTGCCAGTGACCACAGAGGGTGCCACACTAATGAGTAATGAGTGATGCCCCAATGACAGCTCTCTCCATTTTTATTCATCTTTTCTTCCAGCCACTCACTGAAGGGGCATGAGTCCAAACAGTTGGACATTGCTCTAACAGAGCCAGAATCTTCTTTTCATCCAGGCTTGCCATTGTCCCATGAACCCAGTTTGTGAACTTGACATGTTTTCCTTAGGATGAGCTCTGCCCACTAAGGCTCCTTGGGCCCTCCTTTAAGCAAGCTCCTGGCAGATCCGCCCTCTTGATATACCAGTATGTCCAGAACAACATTATCTGCGTCTTGTCATCCTCTTGAAATAGGGCAGGTAATTCCTTTGGGTCTCTCTAAGGTGCTGAGTGGAGGTGATTTTGCCAGGGCAGAGGGAGGCTAAGGCCCCAGGTGCTTTGAAGTCTCCCTTCCCACACAGGAAGCACTTTGGTGAGGAGGTTGTGGGTCAGGTGACTCTCTACACCTATGAAAGCTCTTTTGCTTAGAGTTGACCATTAAAAAGTGATTTCTTGACCCTTATGGTAAAAATGCCTGGACCTCAGATCTCCAAGAGTTAGGCATGTGGTTGGTAAGTCTCTGAGATTCACAGATGGAAGAGGTGGATGATACAGGTCTCTGCGCCCCCACCCCATGACCCCTAGATGACCATCCATAAGGTGTCATCAGCCAGTTGGAAAGTCATGAAGCAGACACAGCCCCAGACATATTCTAGTGGGAAGGCAAGAACATGTGCTGTGTCCCCTCCTGCTTTTCAACCTAAGATAGAGGCTGCCCTGGGCACAAGAGCACTTCCTGTTCACTGGTATAGCTCTCTCAAGACTGCCTGCCTATGTACCATCTCTGGGAAGACTCAGAAACTGCCCCATTCCAGCAGGATGGCCTGGGGGCAGAAAAATGCTCCACGTGCCTGCCAGGCAGAGGTGGGAGCTTGAGGTGGCATTGCTTTAATGAAGTCACCTAGGTTTTCACATCTAGAACTGTGGACATCCAGCCTCCTGCTCACTACTCTCTGGAGTCACTGGAAGCCTGGAATGATGAGGCTTCTTTTCAAACACTCTATAAGAATCTTTGATGAATCCTCACCATCAGGCACCATGCTTTCATGATCCCCAAAGGGATAGGCAGGTTCCTGAAGACCTCCCAGGCCCAGTCCACCAGTGCTGCGCCACTGACTCCGTGGAAGCGGTTGGCACAGCTGGCATTTGAGACTCTGTGCCTTCAGTACCTGATATAGTTTGGCTGTGTCCCCACCCCAAAATATCATCTTGAATTGTAATCTCAGTAACCCCTATAATCCTTACGTGCCAAGGATTACCCTGAGGCTGCCAGCATAAGGCAGTGAGGACCTGGATGTGTGGTCCAAGGTGCTGTTGCCAAGGGCAGGACCAGGGGGAGGTAATTGGATCATGGGAGTGGCTTCCCCCATGCAGTTCTCATGATGGTGACTGAGACTCATGAGATCCAGTGGTTTTATAAGCATCTGGCATTTCCCCTGCTGGTACTCACTCTGTCCTGCTGCCCTGTGAAGAGGGTTCCTGCTTCTCCTTTGCTTTCCACAGTGATTGTAAGGTTCCTGAGGCCTCCCCGGTAATGCGGAACTGTGAGTCAATTAAACCTCTTTCCCTCATAACATTACCCAGTCTCGGGTATGTCTTCATAGCAGTGTGAGAACTGACTAACACAAAACCCTATTTGTTTCTCACCTCCATCTGCCTTCCTTCCTGGTTATTTCATTCTAATTGGTGTTCCTTTCCTACTTCTGGGTTTGTACCTCCCTTCTTATTACTGCTGTGACACATTCTCCCTCTACTGACGGGCAGGCCTGCCCTTCTCCCTGGTGACTGTTCAGGCAGGCCTTGGGACCACGTATGTTTATCCTAAGGATAGACTTGACCCTTTTGCTTCAAACCCCATAGAAAATTGAGTGGCATTTCCTTGCTATTCTGGAAGATGGGAATGGGAATTTGGATTTGAGAGAGCTATAATAGAGCTCTGACACCTTCCTAGAGTCTGGGTGGCAGAACTGGGTTCTAACTGGGACCAAATTCCACCTTTCCTTCCTCCTGGCAGGGTGTGTGTTAACTTCAGGGAGCCCAAGTCATTGTAACTTGTGCACACAGACAACTAGAATCTGCGTCCAAGATGGATCAGTGAGTCTGGAGAGATTATTCGAATTCATTTTCTTGCCAGGCAAACAAAATCACTGACTTGCCTGGACTCCCTGTGAAGGTAGCCGCAGCTGCCGGTGCTGGCCTGTGGTGGCCCCAGGCTATGAGATTTGAACAGCTGCCTGCCAACAGCACCACCCCCTCTTCCAGATTTATCTTGCACCACTGCGCCCGCAGCTGGGCCTGTGCAGAATGTACAACATGCTGCGGATGCTGCTCAGGCTGCCAGCCCAGGGGAAGCACAGCAAATGACTTCTATTTATACAGAAGGCATTCCTGGGCCACACAGCACTCCCCGCCTGCTGAGAAGTCAGCCAAGTCCCTGAAAGACACCAAGGGGCAAGACTGCAAGCCTCCTCTGCCAGAGAAGGCATTGTTCTATCACACACAATGGTAGGGCGGCCCTGGCGTGGTGTCAGATGAGTTGACAGGAGCAGCTGCCTGTTGGTTCCCTCTCCTCGTTTACAGCTGAGCTCTGCCAAATCCAGGGAGCAGTCTGGAGTTTGAGGTTTGGATTTTGGAAAATGAATTGCACCAAGAGGCCAGGACCATCTAGCTCCAGTTGGCTTAGTTAAGAAATGGCCGCAAGCCATAGGTGGCATTTAGCAGTGGCTGCCTGAGTCTTGAGGGGAATGTAACCACAAAAGGCAGTAGAAAGGGCAGGTAGGGCCATTGCAGGGCACAGTCACAGTGGCTGGCCAAGAGGTCTCATTGGCAGACCCAGCCTCTCCTGAACTCCCCCCATTTCCCGAGGCCTAGCTGGTGGCACCCAACACCCACGACGGAGCTGCAACATGCAGCTGAGCTGTACCAGGTAAACGCAGGAAGGGCTACCCCTCTGTAGGTGAATGATACTAGCTTCCTTATGCAGCCTACAGGTTTCATTAGTTAACTCGGGCTATACCTGAGAAGACAGAATAACCACACTGGTGGTTGAGTGTACGCTGTGGAGAAGCACAGAGCCAGCCTGAGTCCCAGCTCCGCCACTTGCTAGCTGTGGGACTCTGAGCTAGTTAATTCAATTTCTCCAGTTCTCAGATTTTCCACTAGTAATTTGGGACTAAATAACCCAATAGGAAAATGAACCAAGGACACAGAGAGGCAATTCATATAATAAAAAATACAAATGGCCAACAAATATATGAAAATGTGTTCAGGCTCTCTAGCTGTTAGAGAGCTCCAAATTAAAATAAGGCCTCATCCTGGCAAATGTTGCAAAATTGATAATGCCCAGCACTGGCACAGAGGCACTGGCATGTGCTGTTGGCGGGAACATAAATTGGCTTGGCCACATTAAAAGATCATTTCTCAGTCTCTATAAAGATTTTATGTGCAAACCCTTTGACTTCACAATCCTACTTCTCAAAATCTATCCTGGAGAAATGATTGCATGTTATGGATGTAGTGGTCATTGTAACATTGCTTGTAATCTTAAATAAAAAGATAAAAAAGAAAAAGGAAAGAATAGCAGAAAACCCAAGTCATAAGCATGTAATTGCAGGTAGAGCTATAGGTTCTGATATGGAAACAATTCTAATATACATGGTTATCTGAAAATAATATATAAGGGAACAATACATGTAGGCCAATCACATTATCTTAAAAAATGTACATTTTCATTTTTCTAACTCAGGCCATGGAGAAGGTCCAAGAGGCTGCACATTCCACTATGAACAGTGGATTACCTCTGCGTGAGGACAGTAGGAGGGAGGGAGATTTTCATTTTCACTCTATATACAGGTGCCCCTCAACTGCATCAGTAAAAATGTCATAAGTCAAAATGCACTTAACCAACCTACCAAACATCATAGCTTAGTCCAGCCTACCTTAAACATGCTCAGAGCACTTACATTAGCCTACTGCGGGACAATGTTATCTCACACAAAGGCTATTTTATAATAAAGTGCTGAATAGTTCATGTAATTTATTGAATACAGCGTACTGTAAGGTGTCACCCTCATAATCACATGACTGACGGGCAGCTGAAATCTTACCACATAGCACTAGCCCGGGAAAAGACAAAAATTCGGAATTCGGAGATGTGCATTGCTTTTGCATCATTTAAAGTCAAAAAATCCTAAGTTGAACCATTGTAAGACCGTCTGTACTCTATATACTTACATCTGTATTTTTGCATTTTTTACAATATATACTGTAAGATGATTGTTGTCCTCTATCATCCCAGTTTCCTGTACAGCCGTCAGAGCTAGACTGAATTGGGGAAGGCTGCCGCTGGAGCAGAATGCCCAGGAAATACCAGGCATTCAGACTTGGACATGTTAAATGTCAAGCGCCCATTAGAATCTAAGTGGAGATGCTGAGCAGGCAGTTGGGTAGAAGAGTTTGCAGTTTGGAAAGGAGGCTGGGGTTGGAGAATCACATTTGAAGACAAGTGCCTTAGGATGTATGGGCATGAGGAGAAGAGTCCCATTAATAAGATAGAGCGGGGCCCAGGGCCAAGTGTGGTGGGCACCTAAATTCTGTATTCCAATGTCTTTAACACAAATCGATTTCTGCTATGAATCTAAAAACTATAGGGTCCTAGCTGATTCTTCCCGCCCAGTTATCACCGGCATCTTATAAAAAACTCCTGTCTTATTCTTAGCACTGCTCCCTGCGTTTCCCTTGAATGTCCAACTTGGTCTGGCTGAACTCCTTTGATGGTCTCTGGGTTTCCCAACTTCGCCCTCCCTTGACATCCTGTCTCTGAATCCCTTTCCTGTAAGCTTCATGGCTGCAGAGAAGCCCTGCTAACTTCTGAGTAACTCCACCCACCACTCACTCTATTCTTCAAGCTCCAGCCTGGGACAACTCCAACATCAGTACACTTTTCACAGTTGCTCATTTAATTCCCAAAAGGCAGATATATTATTAACATCACTTTTACTATTATCCCTGCCCTCCCTGGTTCACGCGATTCTCCTGCCTCGGCCTCCTGCATAGCTGGAACTACAGGCGCGTGCTACCTCTCCCAGCTAATTTTTTGTATTTTTAGTAGAGATGGGGTTTTACCATGTTGGCCAAGATCGTTTCCATCTGCTGACCTCTTGATCCACCCACCTCGGCCTCCCAAAGTGCTGGGATTACAGGCGTGAGCCATCGCGCCTGGCCAAGAATTTGCATTTCTAACACATGACAAACTAGTGATGGTGATGCTGGCGTGTGGGAAGACACTCTGAGAACTGATGATTTACTGTGAGCTAAGTGCTAAGCATTCTATGTGGAGACTGTTTTTAAGGCTCACAGTCACACGATGAAATAGTTATTGTACTATTTACATCCTTCATTTACAGATGAGGAAACTAGCAGTCTATGTAACTTGCTCCGGGTCTTAGTTATTAAGTGGTACGTTCTAATCCAGGTCTGACTCCAAAGTCCTCACTCTTAACCATGAGGTTAAAATGTTAAAATAGAAACCTATTATAAGGAATAGGCCCACTCATTTGCATTCATGAACCAGTACAAATACATTCATGTCATGAACAGGCTCTGAGAGAAAGGGTTCTAAGATAGTTGAGGCTTGATGAAGAACAAAAAGCAAATCAGGAAGGTTTGAGTAAGAGGCCATTGCTTATCATAGTCTTCAAGGTATTTTAGGAATTTGACCAAGAGAGACAGTACGTGTGACAAAAGATAGAAAAGTTGGTCAAGAAGACAAACTTCACCTTATTCATTATTCATTTAGTCCCTGGTTTACAAAATACTTATTGAATATGTACTATATAAGCTGGGGGCTGTTTGGTGCTGAAGATATGAAGGAGAGTAAAAGTGGACATGGTCATGACCCTCAAAACTTACAGACCCCTCAAACAACAATATTAAGTTTAGTAACAATTTTGCCCAAGTCATGAAATCTTGACATTCAGCTTTGGCTACGTGGTTCTCTTAGGTCCCAGCTCTTTTGGTTCTGACTCTTCTAAGTCTTAGTATCTTATATTATTCACTCTGTCTGTTGACCTAATGAATTTCCATTCTGACGCACGTAGTTAAACACAATACTGACATCAGGAACTCAAAAACCTGCCTTGTTAATAGATTTTTTTTTTTTAGTGTTGACTGTGGACAGGATTTGGCTTGTGTGTGGTAATTGGTAACTCTGTGACTAACAGGAGGAGGCTTTATCATTGATCTGCTCTTGTGTTCTTACTCATCAGTGCTCATTACCCAATGTATCTGATATGCCAGATGGATATTTAATAAATGGTCTAGTGGTTGGATCTGACACCATATTCAGCTTCAAGAGAACCACGGTCCTGGGAGGGAGGTCACATAGTTCTCCATTCTGCCATCCAGCCCTGTTGCTTTTAGATGAAGTTGGATGAGGCTGAATTAGATACTGCAAATTGTATGGCATTTTTTTAATTCCAAGGAAATTTTCTTTCATGGGCTTACCATGATTTCTATAAAAACTCATTTTGGGGAAAATCCTCAGTCTGTCTTGTTCCAAGTTGGATTTACTTACTCTGGCGAAGTTATGATCTATTAAAAAAGCGCTAATGGAGAGGGTAACTCTTGATAACTGAGAAGCCAAGTTTCAAGGAACCGTGTTGCCTTAGTCTGCTTTGTGTTAGTAAGAGAATACTTAAGACTGGGTGATTTGCACAGAGCATTGGCATCTGCTCAGCTGCTGGTGAGGGCTTTCATCCTGCATCACAACGTGGCAGAAGGTCAAAGGGGAAGAGGACATGCGCCAACGAGCAAAATCCAAGGGGCATCCTGGCTTGATACCAATGCACTTTGATGGGAATGAGTCCCTTTTGTGATCCAGTCTTGCCAGAGTAGCATCTCACTGTCTACAGCAGTAACAGCACCAAGGTATTTATACGGCATCTGCCCTCATGACCCAAACAGCTCCTGCTGGGCCTCACCTCCCAACACTGCCCCATTGGGAATCAAATGTCAACATCACTTTTGGTGAGGACAAACTACATCCAAACCATAGCACGTGTGAAGGAAAAAAAGAAAGAAAAGGGGAAGAAAGGAATAGAAAGACTGTAGTAAGAAATCCATGACTGATGTGAAACATGGAGTTTTCACACAGAGCTAAAGAAAAGCTATAGGCTGTCTCCTAGAGACACACATTTCTGCCTTCTAGTCTGCAGATTTGTTTACATTTAAAAACAAAACTAAATTTAAGCTTCAAAGTAAATGCTCAACATTTAGGCAGACATATGGGCTGTTTGCTTTGAATGAGGGGCAGGAGCCAGCCTTCTCTGAGTTGGCCCAGAGAAAATTTTTGAAACGCAGAAATGTAATAATAGCTGGCACATGGGACGTGTGGAATGAAATCAGCGCTTTCAAAAAGAAAAAAAAATGAAGAGAATAATAATAATAAGCCACCACATTCAGTTCTTTTGGTTAATGTCAAATTTTACTCACCAATCTTAACACATCTACTCATGATTACTCTTATTTGGGTATTTCCAGTGGAAAATTATCCAGTTTGCGAAAAGTCTCAGTCCTTTGTTTTGAAGGACACAGCTTTCATTTTGGCCCCAAATTAGATGGGACTGAATTACCCCCACCAAGATGATTCAAGCTACCTCCTAGTGCCCAGCTCTGCCCTTGCTTTTGGCAGGGCACAGCATGGCATTTAGCCTTGGCCTTGTCCCCGATATTGCCTGGTCAGACCTACATCAGAGTAAGCGTGGGAGGAGGAGGAGAATGAGGAGTGGGTATAGATGAGCATTGAAGAGCTTAGGATTTGGGGCCAGAAAGACCTGGGTTTAAAGTCCAAATCTACTTTTTACTATGTGGGCTTCAACTTCTAAATAAATCTTAATAATAGCATGAGCTTACTACAAATATTTCACGAGATAATATACACTAAAGGCTTGGTTCAGTGCATGGCATGTGACATGTAATGGTACCTGTTGTTACTGGAAGTCTTGATCTTACTCTGGGTGGTTTAAAAGAAGAAAGTAAGTGGGTCAGTGTTAGTTTCTAAATCCTTTGTACAGTGCTGTCCAGTAGAATATTCTACAATAAGAGAAATTTCTATGTCTGTTCTACCCAACACAGTTTAGTCTCTTGCTGTATACAGTTTAGTCTCTTGCTCGTTACACTGAGCTCTTCAGATTTGGCTAGGAAAGTGGCTTTTCACATTTGACTGATTTAAATTTCAATAGCCATGTACGATCTGTGGCTACCATGTTAGGCAGCCCAGCTTTATGAGATTAAAACTGTAGGCTCTATGTGAGGAAGAGCAGCATTGTGAGAGAATAGTTACATGAAAATACAAGGAAGCTTAGAGCTTCTGGGGTTGAACCAGTCAGAAAGAATCACATTTTTAATAAGTCATGGACACTACCCTTGTTACAACCTTTATTGTACAAACAAAAAAATAGAAAACATTTTCAAAACTTAAATGTCAAACAGTCCAATTTCAAGATGTATTAGTTTGTTCTCACACTGCTATAAAGAAACACCTGAGACTGAGTAATTTATAAAGAAAAGGAGTTTAATTGGCTTGTGGCTCTATAAGCTGTATAGGAAACATGGAAACTTCTGCTTCTGGGGAGGCCTCAGGAAGCTTACAATCATAGTGGAAGGTGAAGGGGAAGCAGGCACGTCTTACATAGTGGAGCAGGAGCAAGAGAGAGGGGAGGTGCTGCACACTTGTTATTTTATTTATTTATTTTTGAGTTGGAATTTTGCTCTCTGTTGCCCAGGCTGGAGTGCAGTGGCACAATCTTGGCTCACTGCAAACTCAGCCTCCTGGGTTCAAGCGATTCTCCTGTCTTGGCCTTCCAAGTAGCTGGGATTACAGGTGCCTGCCACCACTCCCGGCTAATTTTTGTATTTTTAGTAGAGATGGGGTTTCACCGTGTTGAGCAGGCTGGTCTTGAACCTCTGACCTCAGGTGATCTGCCCACCTCAGCCTCCCAAAGTGCTGGGATTACAAGTGTGAACCACTGCACCCAGCCAGTGCTACACAGTTCTAAACAACCAGATCTCATGAGAACAGTACCAAGGGGGGTTGGTGTTAAATATGATCGTGGATCCCCCACGATCCAATCACATCCCATCAGGCCCTCCTCCAACATTGGGGATTACAATTCAGCATGAGATTTGGGTGGGGACACAGATCCAAACCATGTAACAAGAGCTATTTGACAAACTGTAATCCCACTAAAATGAAAGAGATTCAACTTTGATTTGGATGCTACAAAAGCAAAATGTTCACCATTTGGTAAACAGTCATGGTGAATACGTGAGGCAGCATCAAATCTAATCAATGAGCCCTGTCAAGCACAGGAGAGCTTCTTGAGTGTCCTCCTTAAAGTATATGTTGTACCTGTATAGGTGAGAGCCATTTTTTTGACAAGATAATAGAAGAAGCCATGGTAATGTAACTCACTGCTGAGTTGGCAATAAGCTCACTCCTTGGCAACCAAATGAAAAAGCCCATACGGGAAGAAATTAATAAAGCTGGCATGTTTTCTGTTCCTATCAGCATAACCCAAGATATAAGGATAAATAATGTTTATTCAGTAATGACTCAAATGTGTCACAGGCATTTTGAGAGAATGTCTAGTGTCTATGGTAAAGTTTAAATATTAGGAGAATTATAGTCCAATGTGTCCTGGGTCCAAGATGAATAAAATAGTGTTTCAAAAAGGACTGGGTTTACATAGCACTTTGTATTTCACTTAAAGACTCTGCATAGTTGAAATAAAAGTGACCTGACACTGGGATTCAAGAGGTTTTGGGACATGATTTGCTGGTTACTAGTTGGTAGTCCTCAACAAGCCATTAACACTTTCTGTGCCTCAGTTTCCACATGTTTGAAAATGGAGTTGATACTATCTCATAAGATTTTTGTAAAGGTTAAATGGAAAACTAAAAAGCACTTCGCAAATGAGAAGCATCATCATCATCATCGTCTTTATCAT